AATCGGGAATAGTGTAACTAATTAGCAACTAAATACCCAGTAGGTTAGATGTGCGCGTTGCGACCATGGTCTGCTAGCTTAATATACGTCTGAGCTTCTGCCTTTTTGCATCACTGTCACTTACATGACTGTAGTTCATACTAGATACTTACATGACTGTAGTTCATACTAGATATTTAAGAATTGTGTAAACTAATATTCCATCGAAGTCTGCAATGATAAAATGTATTATTAGGTGTATTAATTACAATGCACTAAAAACAATTAAAATAAAATTAAAATACCCGGCTGCCGTTGAAAACAAATAACTGAAAAGTAAAAAAATAAGTTTACTTTTTCGAATATGACGGAATGTAAGCAGGTATATTTTTTAATACAGTCGGGGGAATGTTTTTTAATAAAAAGACGATACTTAAAAGTCCCCCGATTTCATAAAAAAAATATTAACATTCCGTCCTATTAGAAAAATAAAATTTACTTCATAGTTAATTTCTTTTTCACGGCTGTCGTATAAATAAACAATTTATTTATTAAGTTCTTTTATCAAAGATTTCACATTTCTAACTGTTGTGTGCGTGTCAAAGTCATAGTATAGGTAATGTTTTTTTTATTAATTTATTTAGTATGTATTGTGTTATTTAAGTATTATATAAAAAATAGAAGAACCAATCTCACACTTTTCCATGCGCAAGAATATCATGATGACATACCTACGTAAAGTTAGGTGCGAGGAAAACCAAACAAATAACAGGTACCTACGTACATACAGGCATTTCAATGAGAAATTAACTACATACCTATACGATGACTTGATCCTTTTTTTAAGTTTAGCATAGTCACCAAATGCCAACTAAGCAGATAAACTAACACATGCACGTGTGCGTTATTATCATAACAATACATTTAGTAGATAGGTACAAGTTATATTTAGTTGGTTTAGTGAATGATTTTTGAGTAATGATCAGCACTACTGTAGGTAACTAATGACGTTTTATCCGACGAGATACAGCTCCTGGACCTATCCCAAAGACTAGCGATAATTGTTTTGATAAGTTTAAAGACATTTTTAAAAACAAATATTTAATAAATACTTGTGTTTACGAGATGACATAATAAATATGAGCAAACACTTGCACCCGTCTTTTTTTTCTACAGAGATATTACTACGGATAAGGGACTTACGTATATTCCAAAATTTAAAGATACATACAAGAATAATCGATGTTTTTTACTATAGCACTTCAAGAAGTAAGAAATTGCCTGTTGAAGCCTCGGTAATGCGATGGTGTGAGCTTGTTCAGTTGTAGCTAGCAGCCTATTAACTTGAGGTTAAACGGGTTATACCTATGAGCTCGTGAACAAAGACAAAAGCGGTGAAATTCACTCCTTCTCTTCAACTATGCGCTTTATAATTATCAAGAAAAGAAAACATCTTCCTTTCACAAGGGTGGAATATAGACCAAGTCGGACTGAAGACCGTTACTCCTTCTGATAGAACGAGGAAGGAAGGATTAAAACTGCCACAGTGCCAACCCCGTAATAATCAAATTGTTTAGAATGTGATTCCAAGTAATATTCAAAACGAAGCATTGTATCACTTGCACTCAATAGAAAAACGACACCCACGTATAACACGTGAGTAGACATTGGAGGTAGAGGATTATAGTTCTTCGACTACGTGCAGTCGACCCTTACCGGCTGTTTAGATTTTTATGTGTTTTCGTTTAGTGTTATAAAACAGAGGTATATATACTCGTATATATTTATATAGGTACCTAAACTAGGGTAAACAAATAGTGATTTTATCAAATGATAGACAATAGTTTTACAATAGTCCGGTTTTAGGTTTTCATTTTCATCCGACAGAACAACCGTTTGTCGGGTCTGCCTGCTAGTTATAACTTATAATAACCAAAAAGACCAATCGTCACAGTCGATAAATTTTATTTATATATTCTCAGAATGCTCATCTTATAAACTAGTTCCATGTGGTTCTCGAGGTACGATAAAATAAATTTCCAACAAAAAGCCCACGCACGCACGCCTACTAGCCTATGTATCGTGCCTATATTCTAGATCACTATAACGAATGACTATGTGCCAAATATCGTGGGACCTACATGTCCTCTTCATTGTCATCAGTTTATAGATGGATTCAAGGAACCAGCCCGGCTCCAAACACCAGCCTTTTCGCCTTTTGATTTGACTTCAAATAAATGCAGAAGGTTCTCTTTTCATGGACTTTCTTTTTGTAATCTAGCTGACATTCTTGTGAATGGTGAACCAAGTTTAATATTTTTTATATTAAGGTAGGTAATTTACTCCACCCCACCTGATGTTAGACATGGTGATAAAGACCAGACGCGAAAATAGTTGGTGCAGCAGCTATGAACTGTCATACTAACCATCCTTCTTCACGCCTCTTTTAACGGATCCCGGATTGTCAGAAAGAGTGAGCATGTTCTCAGGCAAAAAATTTCACTTGCGAATAGCAAAGAATTAAGTCTCCAAATCTCTTTCTTCATGTAGGAATTATTGTTACAGTAAAACGTTAGCGCGTGTGGTTCTCTGAAGAGAAGGAGAAGGTGGGATAAGGAAAAAGAACTTCTCGAAAACTGTGGTAAATTCGATGGAATGTGCTTAATGATGCCACATTGCGGCGTTATTGTAGAGACTCGGTTGTTAGTTACCTACCTCTACATCCCCAATGATGCCGGTAGCGCGTTACTGTAAACTATCCAATCAAAGTATCGAGTAAGTACTTGGCAGAGAAATCCCCCAGGTGCGAGCAATATTCACCCAGGTGCGAGCAATATTCGGGACCGCACTTGCGTCTTGTACAACACAACACACAGTTGGTGAGGCGTGAAAAAACGCCGCACCTTGTTCAAGAATCCGAGTTTTCGTAAACCTGTTTTTATTACGGTTTCAATGTTGTAATTTTTTTTTATTTGGAAATGTCATTCTCGGGGTGTGGAGGATTCATCAAGCCAGGATCTGAGGGTGAATTTCATAGATCAAGAAATCGAGGGAACTCTTCAAAAGATAATGAGGAGTTAAAAGGTGCCAAGAACATCAACATAGAGGGAGGAGAAACTACAAGCAAGCTGCTCTTAAGAAAAAACGGAACCCTTATAGGATCACTTTGTTGTTCGTCCGTCTGTCAAGACCATATTTCTGAGGAACGCGTGGAGGTATCAAACTGAAATTCATATAAAATACTCATGTCTACTGTCCCTTGGAGCTGTGAAAATATCAAACTTCTAAGCTAAAGCAATCAAAAGATACAGCCGTATATGCAGCAAATTTTACAAGCTCGCATGGGAATCATAACCTATAGGGTACTTCCCGTAAAGTTAGAATCTGTAAATTTTTAGTTACATCATATAATAAAAAATATTTTTGAAAATTTTAAAGTTACTACCTCTTTTCTCATGAACGCATAGTAGAGGTATTAAATTGCGTTTGTACGGAACCCTCGGTGCGCGAAACTGACTAGCACTTGGCCAGTTTTTTTACTAGATAGCAGTAGTAACAGTTGCAATTCCAGGGCCAGATTTAAGGCAGGGCAGGTGGGGCTGTTGCCCAGGAGAGATGCCTCACAAACGAAAACATACCCACATTTTAGCAGGTCAACTAGTGAAGGGGGTTGTAAATCGTAAGTGGCCCCTGGCTCAACATTTTAAAATACGACCCTGTTAGGGACCTCCAATTATCAAAATCCAGCCCTGTGCCAATCATACATTTTTATAATATATCAATCCTATATATATTTTAGTTTGACAAAATATACTGTCATATTATTTCATTGTTTAGTTTATAGTTTTTCAGGGAGGTTTCCGCACTTAGTCCTTATTATTGGACCATTGTGTGTGTCTCAACATTCTTGTTTACTCCAGGCAGCCTATTTTGGTCCAGAAGGAAAGCAGCCTTGGTAGACTGCTGCAAGCTTTCGGACACTCCGGTAGTTTTATCTTATTGTAATGATGTTTTCTCTAAGAAATTCTCTAAATATTGCAGATTGTATATAGTACAGAGGGGTCAGCATTCATATCTTTTGTAATATTAAAATATTATAACCTATTGTCATATGCTTTACTGCATCTGCACTACAATAATAATAATTATTATTATCTAACTATTAGTACACTGATCTTGCCATTGCTATATATCAGACATAAGACTTTTTGTTTAACGCTTGTTGCTTAGATAAATACTTACTGTATTTTTGGTTGTTAAAAATATTTTCTTTCTTTCTTTTCTTTTCTTTGCACAAGTTAGTCAAACTTAATATGCCATCAATATTCATAAGTCATAGCAGATGAAATCTAGATTAAGGCTCTCAAAAGAAACACCCAGAAACTTTGCTGCATCAACAAACAACAGGAATAAAATGTACCAATTCTTTTTAACAATGCCAAAGAGCATGTGGCCTGCCTATTGGTAAGCAACTACCATAACATATAAACAATTGAGATATTGTACAGTAACACTCATATGTTGCTTACCCTAAACACCATGGGGTGTTGGTGATAGACTTCATAGTTAAAAGGTGATGATATTTTACTATGATCTTCTGAAGGTGAAAGATACTTCCCCAGATAGGTTCTACAATTTAAGCCTATGTCCTGTCTTATTTTTAGAATACAGTTTTGCAATCATTGTTAGAATGAATGTTTGCATTTAGAGTAGATTCTGCTGTCTGTTACCACTATTGTTGTTGTTTACACCTGAGAATATTCCAATGTCATATTTGTAAAAATATTTAATTTGATCTGTTTTAGTATTCAGTATATATTATAATGATTTCAGTTTTTAATATTGTGTTTCTCTACATGCTACAAATATCCTCTGTTGCTTAGTTAAAGGGGTAAGAGACACCCCTTCAACAGATGTAAGGGTGTTTATATGATTGATTTACCATAGAGACAAGATAATACAGACTACTGAGGCAATCATTTCAAAAGGAAAAAAAATAGAGATTTATTATAATTACTTACCTGCTAAAGTAAATCTATCCATATAGTTGATAAGATTGACGAAGCACAATATTCCAACAGTCATGTATTCTACAAAACTAACATCTCGCAAACTATCACTTCTCCTTTCTTGCTTCTCTTGCAGCAGCGCCGTTGCCGAATCATTGTCACTATTTATCACCAGCTGCTGATTAGATGTATTTGGAGTTATATCACTCTCGTCCATTGTGCTTACAAAACATAAAGTGCCGTATTACTAGATTTTTATAAGCCAATTCTCAGGCACCTGCATTAAGAGAATTTCTGAGCAACAAATTCGGCAACACGAACACAATTTCTAAGACACCCTGTACTATAAAAACAAAGTTCACCAGTTTTTCAGTATTTAAAGGCTGCATACAGAAGTCAGTCAAAATGTAACTACATTAATTCCATCAAAGGCAATTTTCAAAATTTGGAAACTCTTGACGTAAACTAAACACATGACAAGACACATGAAAGTTTTGCTGCTGACTTTATCAGAAGCTGTCAGAAGCACATTCAGTTCTCCCTCCAACTCCAAAAACAAACCACTTCACTCACTTACGCATACAATGGGTGTATTCCGTAATGTATACCAGTATACTGGCCAGTGCTAATGACGTCATGGATCGACGCTATACTGGTGAATTGTTCCGAAATATATTGGCCAGTGCACTGACGTCATAAATCGACTAAATATGAAAAATAGTGCGATTAAAGAAGATTTTTTATTCACCTCATCAGCACCTCAATTAAAATGAATTCTTTTTGTTCGGATGCCATTATTGTTCTTTAAATAAAAAAGAAAATTCAAATGCATCTCACGCACGCTCGGTCATCCGTCATATTCGTTTTCCCGGTAAAAATATGGCAGCATACCAGTACAATAAGGCGCCGGATTCGTGACGTCATTACCACTGGCCAGTATACTGATGTACATTTCGGAATACACCCATATCAATACACCATAGAGAAGACAAACTCCTTTTTTAATATATCATTCTCCCTTTTCAGGGAAGTCGAAGGGAACAATGCCCATACATCTTAATCTTAAGTTTTAATTATCATCTTTTTTTAAACATTAGACTGTCGGTGTGGAACATTGGCATTTAATTTTATTACACTGTTGATTCCGGCATGATTATCTAAATTTTCAGGAGATTGCTCAAATTGCCCCAAATGTACAAAAAATATTGACATATACGGTAATTCTTGGAGTAATTTATACTTTATTTTACATTCATTAGATTTTAACGGACACCTTTATATTCATTTTAAAAAGGACTTTCAATTTTACCGGTTTCGAAGACATACGAAACATTTTAATGGCTATGGGTGTAGTAACATTCAGCCAAAAGCTGATCGAAGTTGTTTATGTAATCTGTGGTAGTGTTGCGTAGGACACGACTTGAAAAAGAGTTTGTAAGAGTAGCCTCTTTTTTGTACTGAGCCAGTACAATGTCCCACTTCAAATGAGGCGAGGCGTACAGAAACTCGACGAGTAGCACCTCCTCTACGCACTATCAATCTTGCTGGATCCAGCATGCAGGACAGCGCTATACACGTAAAAGAGATAGAGATACAGATGGATAGTGCGTAGAGGACTTAAATGAAATGTCATGCCTCGCTCTCTCTCAGACTTACGAAAAGTGAGTGAGTAACGAGACGCGACTATCGCGACATTTAATGTGAAGTAGTACATTTTAAAATTTTGAGCCGCTCTTACATTTTGACGTCATGTCCGGGACAAATGTACCGCCTCTTGTAAGTCCTACTCAACACTAATCTGTGGTAAGGACCGATCTGCGTTAGTCTGTGCTGCTGTTTCATTAACTTTTTTTAAACGGTGTTTCATTTTCGTTAGAAAACATGAAAAATCTTAAAGTACTATTGTTATTATTACTATGTTTAAATAAAGTTTTTGGAAAAAAACGTAACCCAGAAGAAAAACCAGAATGGGCAAAAAAAGATATTAGAGATTTTTCTGACGCAGACATGGAACGGCAAGTGTTGCAACCTATGATCTTTATTTTAGGAGCTATTAAATTGTCAGAAGAGTAATATTTCATTTATTTGCAGGCTTTTTGATCAATGGGAGGAAGATGAAGAACCTCTACCTGAAGATGAATTACCCGAACATCTAAAGAAACCACCTGCTATAGATTTGACCAAGATGGATATGTCAAACCCTGAATCTGTTTTGCAAGCAACTAAAAAAGGTCAAACATTAATGATGTTTGTTACAGTGGCTAATAAACCATCCAAAGCCAGAGCAGAAGAATTGACTAAAATATGGCAAGCCAGTCTTTGGAGTAATCACATACAGGCAGAAAGGTTTGTGTTCATTATTGTTTTACCTTTTGTGAATCTTTCGATGACCTCCTAACAAAGTTGTTTTAATTTGTTTTAGGTACTTGATAGATGATGACAGAGCTATATTTATGTTTAAAGATGGATCTCAAGCATGGACTGCAAAAGAATTCCTTCTGGAACAAGAAGAATTAAAAGATGTTCAACTTGAAAGTCAGACATATACTGGTAAAAAACCAGATATTAGAAATAAAGCTGTTAGAGATGAGTTATAGATCTAAATACATTCCTAAGATTTTTTTTATTAAATTGAAAAATGTATATAATAAGTAAACCATTTTTTATTTTGTTTTTCACTGTAATTATAAGAATAAAAAGAGATAAAAGTAAAACTTCCTGAAATATCTGCAACATCTAAAATGCATCAGTAGCACGGAAATGTTCCTCATCTATTGTAGAATAAATATGACCTTCACCACACATCCACTCGAGAATGTTTCTGTAAAGTGGAAAGAAAAAAATATAATGTATAGAATTCTATCTTGGTAGTAATTTATACATATTAAGTCAGATAACACATACTCAAATTCGATTTGGGACATGCGGTCTTTCAAAGTAGCATACATGTCTTGCTTGCTAATACCCTGTTCCATGGTTGAAGCTCGAATAAGGTTGAATACCATCATTTGTCGGGGATTCAACCCATTAACAGACCCATTGTCATTTACTGCAACCATCGAATTAGCTGGTAATCCGCTTGTAAATGTTGGGTTATTACTGACAACTTTCTCCTGAAACATATTATATATAATAAGTTTGTGCTTTAAAAATAATACAGTGCCTATAATTTGTCATGAGATCACAATAAACCATTGCTTGAAGAAAAATAATGAAAATAAAAATAAAATATTTGTACAACTAAAATTCTAGTAGAAGAAATGTAGAAATGAAAAAATAAAATTCTTCACCAAAGATACCAAGAATGGTATTTAAACCCAGATAAACCTAAAGCTGAGATCTTGAATATATATTTTTTTAATACTTCTAGTATATAATATAAAAATGAATTGCTGAATGTCTTGCTAAGCGTAAATCTTGAGAACAGCTGAACCAATTTCGATAATTCTTTTTTTAGAATATTCCTTGAAGTACAAGGATGGTTCTTATGCAGAGAAAAATTAAAAAGTTGCCTGAAAATGTCCAAAAACAACACTTTTCCATACTCGCATCCAAACGATTTGTAATAGGTAATACTTAAAAGTCAATTTGAACTTTAATATCATACCATAAATTTCAAATGTGAGTGGAGAGATTCTGGGAAGGCAAAACTATTGAGCGACCTGATGTCAATAGAAGTTTGGAAAAGGCAAATATACCATTTTCAGTTTTTTTATAATTACTTATATGAAGATAATTAAATCTACACTGCAGCTCTACACCGAAGCAAAGCAAGGGCGGGCCACTAGTTATACATAAAAATCACCTTTTTTGAGTCTGCTTCCATCTTAACTTTATTATGTATACATTGTAAATAATGAAAAGTAATAGCATTGACATCAGTAACTGGAAGAATTTTAAATGCCATCATGACCTTTTTTCCTTTATTAGTCTTGATGTTACCATACACTTGAATGTAATCATTTACTTCTACTTTGGGTGTGGCCTTGTCCTAAAAACAGTTTGTTAATAAACACAGTCAATAATGAATTCATAATTCTCAAAAAAGTGAAATACAAACTGGTTGTGCAATTTGGAATTAGTAAACTTACATCCTGTTCCATAGCTTCTTGATCAATCCACAAAACTGCTCGCATTCTACCTGTTAGGTCCTGTATTGTGTAAGTTATTTTTGTGCTCTGCATTCGAATATTTCTTACACGGGCAAGTACTGACACAATTTGAATTTCAGTTCCCCATATTTTCAGACCATCTTCTCCACTATGTAATGCTTGTTTTATAACTATAGGAGCTGTTCGGGAAGCACGTCGAGTCTAGAAAATACAATGAGTTAATTACATTAGATGTACTGTTGTTGACATTAGAAAATGAAAGATTTACATACACTTTTTTGAGCTTGGTTTGGTGTATTCACATTTCCAAATTGACCTGGAGAGTTAAAAAATCCTCCACCCGCAACAGATTGATCTAAAATTATGAATACAGTCGAGTCAACGTTCCATAATAAAAATTGAATTATATTAGCACGGGTTGAGAGCACGGTTATCTTATTCCGATCTAACTTACCATTCCACATAGTTTAAAATGATTAGTACCCCTTGTTTTGTATTCACTATCTCCGACGTCGACTGCTTTAATTCGATCCAAATCCAAAGTAGTGTAGTTATTTAATTGTTGCTAATTTATGAGCAAAGCAAATTAGAAACCCGACATGAAGTTTTGTATAATCTTACCGCGCTGTCAGTGTCAACTGTCAAGTTTTTTTTTTTTTGGTGTAGTTCTCCCGTTTTAGGAAAGGCAAAGGGAACAATGCCCATACAGCCTGGTCTTTAATTAAATTAATCTTCTTTTTGTTTTTACTTTTTACATTAGAATGTCGGTGTGACGCATTCTAATGTTTCTTGGAGTGTTTGGCACGAAATGTATCGAGTTGGCTTTTTCGATAAGCTTCTGTGAGGTAGTCAACACTACAATAAAATTCTCACGTCCACTTGACCGGAATAGCGTATATTTTAACGATTCCACTAATTCTTCAGTTACGCAGACAGTTGTTACACAAAACCACACCAATTTTATTTCACAATATCCACTATGAACGAATTTAAGAATAATTAAAATAAGACGCCAACCGCACTCGATGAAATCCCGCCAAAAACTCTCAAGTTTTTTTTTGTTCTTGCTACTTGGGAAAGGCAAAGTCATGCAGCCATTTGTATCCACTCTGGTATAATTATCTCAAAACTAAAATTAACAACACTTGTTCCCGTTCATTCTGTATAGAGAATGACAAGGATACACTGTTTTTAATTGTAAGTTTAAGTTATGAGATTCATGACAAAATCAACACCATTGTCATAATTTAAAAGTTGTTTTGAAAAGTTACTTTTCCTGACAATTTAGTATGTGATGACATCATGAATGGATGAATATTAACGTAATCCAAGTATGGATCGCAGCATCACAAGTTGTACAGTGCGAAAAGGATTTTATGAATGTTCAGGGTACCCAATGACCAAAATATGACATTTACAAAGACGGCGGTGTGAGTTCCAATTTTCACCACATTCATAGGTAGCTTTCCAATTACAGCATTATAGCGCATTATGCGGCATAATACTTAACGTTAAGTGTTTCAACTACAGCAACGCTTCGCACAATCGAGCACTCTCAAAAGTAATGCTTTCGTGTGATGCGTGCAATCGTACCAACTCAGAGACAGAAAATTAACAAGTGTTTTTTCTTTAAGTCGGCATTGATCGAAATGTTTTATTCATATGTTATCGTTAGTAATATTATTTATTGTTGAAAAATTATTAAAACTTTCGTTTCATTATAGTTTTTTTTTTAAATAATCATAGTTAAATCAAACTGTGTTAAAAAATTAAATATAAATATGGATGAAGGTACAAACATTGAATTTTTTTTTCAACACTTAACTTAGCGCACTCTGCTGGTGCATTTGAAAACTAATTCACGTTCCAATTAAGCATCAGCATAATTCGGCATTGTGCGCCACTGAGTCGCATTATGCTCTGTAATTGGAAAACCACCATAAAGATTTTTGTCTTACACCGGTGATACTGCTATACGGCCATAGATTTAAAATTATAAATAAAGTTTTTATTAAAGATACATATTAGAGTCTGATGAATCGTGACCCTCCAATATAATTTTTTTATTATAATACATATTAGAGTCTGTCTGATGAATCGTGACCCTCCACAAGGGCGGCAAAGAGTCCATTAAGCATCATAACCGATTTTAAAAATGGAGGAGGTACTCAATACGTTTATATATTGCTATAATTGTTTCCTTAAAGCTCTGAAATTTTTAGACGGATTTTGATGATTTGATTCAGATAAATAATTTAAGTTCTATTAAAGTAACTTCACAACATTGAGAGGCAGTGCCTAGATCTGAGTTGTCATTCCATGCTTATGTCGCGGGCATTGCCGGGTGGGCAAAGCAGTGCCGACACTTCCTGCAACACTTTTTACTTTGACGATGCAATATAGGCATAAAATTAATAAAACTTATGTCAAATTTGACAATTGTTGCACCTGGAGCGTAGGATTTGAACGCAGCCCAGCCGATCGTGGCTGCGACTGCCTCTATGTAGGGGAGGATTCACGTCTCACGACCCATCCGTAGTACTGAAGTTACAAAAGAGAGTGGAAGCGTGCTTACAATTATTTTTTGCTCGTTTGATACTCTACTCTCGTTAGCCGAAATGACTAATATTATGAGTATTGACGAAACATTTAAATTACTTGAGTAGCATTCAAGCAGAAAACAACTTATGGAATTAGAAAAATAGCCAGCAGCCACCACCTTCAACTTTTCTATTTCTTTTTAATAATACCACTGTAATACACCTGAAGTAGTAGTTAAAAGTACTAAATTAATAAAAAATTGCGGCAGCAAATAATCTCAACGTTTTATTTTTTAATTTTGTGTGCGTACGAGTTGCGTCTGCCGAGAATGAACACAGACTGAATGAGCTACCGACGTCGTCATCCATCTTCTGTTGCATCTGGCGACGTCCGCGGACGCATCCGCCGACGTGTAGAGGAGGCTATTGGATAACAAAGGGATAAATAGGCTCTTTTCTGTATCTCTCATGCGTCCTGTTTTATTGGTAATATTACTGTCCTGTTTTTGGATGTGTAACATCTTTCCTCTCATTTTCCCGCAATTTGTGGGAGTGATTTCGTGAAGTGGGACGGAAGTGTGTAATAGGAAGTTTGGGAAGCGCGCGCTAATTGATTTGATTTTAGAACATAATGTTCATATAGCTTATTCCTTTTGTAGTAGGTTTTATTTCTTTTTTTACTAATATAAGGTGAGGATTCAAATGTTACACGTCATACGCGACTAAGGATACGGCCACAGTGCACGCAGGTTCAGATTCAGATTCAGACTCAGAAAACAGGCTCGTGAGATGTCAGCTTGAGGAAAGCAGGTGATGGCCACAGTAGAGACAGATAATACAAGACGCGGACGCGAGCACTGTTGCCAGGTGGGGGGAGGGGGGGGAGGTTTAAAGCGATGGGGGAATCCCCCCATCATAAAACGGGGGGAAGAAATTAAGTTTTAGGGGAAACGGAGGCTTTCTTTATTACATTTTTATATAAAAATAAAACCACTGACAACACAATGAAGACTCTAGTGTAGATGACAAGTAAGAAGTGGTCACCCACGGTCTGTTAGGATTCCAGCAGTGATAAAAGCTGTGAAGGCGCGAATTCAAAAAAAACCCAAACGTAAGCAGAAAGTGTTGGCCTTTCAGATGGGGTTAAGCAGAACCACGGTGAAAAGGGTGTTAAATGAAGACTTAGGGCTTCGGGCATATCGAAGAAAAACAGGATATCGTTTGAATGCTCGTCTAATGGACCTGAGACTGAAGAGATGCTGTGCTTTGTTGAAGCGATACGCGGGAAAAAAAATATCGGGAAATTCTTATTTCGACAAGACTCGTTGGAGGCGCGTGAAATCGACTTCATCCGGCAGGAAGACTAGTCCTCCTCCAGTCCGGATTTAAGTCCGTTAGATTACAAGATATGGCAACACTTGGAGGAAAAGGCGTGCTCAAAGCCTCATCCCAATTTGGAGTCACTCAAGACGTCCTTGATTAAGGCAGCCGCCGATATTGACATGGACCTCGTTCGTGCTGTGATAGACGACTGGCCGCGCAGATTGAAGGCCGGTATTCAAAATCACGGAGGTCATTTTGAATAAACATTATTGTCATAAGAATCTATGTTTTGTTAAGATCATTTTGGTATATAAATGGTTACATAATGAATAAACTTGTTTAAATTATTTTATATTAAACATGTGCCAGAATTTATGACCTGACTAGGTATAATGAGTTTTGCATATCTAGGTTAAACTTTAAAATTTTAAAGTAAATATTATCACTAAAAATTATAAACATAGATAATGACTAATAATTAAGCAGTTTTGTTTATTATAAGAAAAGTCGGTACTAAATTCGTAAAGTTGTGGTGGAATTTCGGGGTAGTTTTGATGTGGGGGAGAAGGGGGGATCTCCCCGACTCCCCCCCTACTAAAGATATTTGACGGAAATGCATGTTTTTTTTAAATAACCTAACCTAAAAATTCATAATTTTTTTAGGATGCAAGGACTAGGGAAGTAAAAACCAGTACCCGGAAAACACATTAGTTTAAAAAAAAAATTATTCTACGTCAATTTTTAAAAAAAAATTAAATCGTCCAAAAACGAACATTTTTATTAACGATTTTTTTCTACTCGATCGATTCCTCAAAATTCTTGGTGAATCGAATCACCTGATTTTTTTCCCCCGCTGTGCGCCTTCTGGGAAAGACGGGACAGGCAAGTACTTTTTTTTCGGAGATTGAGAATTGTTGCTAAAGTTTGCGACACAGGTCGATAAATTTTACATGACTCTCTTGGGAGTGGCGTTACCCACATGATAAACTACTTTAGAAATCAAAATGTTTATTATAACATGTTGAATTGTTGCAAACGTAAAACCGACATAATTGCAATTTACTGCTAAACTAACAATCCCACGTTATTTTTTCATAGAACTGATTTTGTAGCGGGCAAGCTAATGAACAACTTTGATTCAAAAAAATTTTCAAAATCCCCGTTTACAAGCAAAAAAACTCAAAAAAACCGGTTTTTCTTTGTTTAAACAATTTTCTGGCTACAAAACACGGGTTCTAGCGGGGACAAATGGAGGGCATATTCGTGGGGGTCTATACTATCTAGGAAAAAATTGGCTAAGCGCTGGTGTCTTAGAATAGGTCTCATGTTTATTCCGACTGGACTATTCCGGTAAAGTGTCTGACTCCGAAACCTGCGCGGGCAACCAGTTGCCTGCTGCCACTATGGCCACCCTACTTTAACTAGACTGTTTATTTCTCGCGCTTGTTTTCTGAGTCTGAATCTGAGGTAGTCTTCCAATTACAGAGCATAATGCGACTCAGTGGCGCACAATGCCGAATTATGCTGATACTTAATTGGAACGTGAATTAGTTTTCAAATGCACCAGCAGAGTGCACTAAGTTCAGTGTTGAAAAAAAAGT